ACATGCTCACCATCGAAAAGGAGGTAAAGACTAAACCCATACTAATACAAACTCTTGGGTTTTTTCCTTCCCGTTTTTTCTTCTATGCATGTTTAACTAGATTAGATCATTTGTCTAAGTATTCTTAATTGTTTCCACTTTACTGTAATACAGCACTCAAATTACATTTTCAGATTATTAGAAGCTTCTGATAAATATAATTTTTAATGAAGGCACAATATTTTATCTTCTTGATTAGAGTTCAATCACTTTAAAATGAAATTCCAGGATGTGGATTTGCCTAATGAACTCTGCCTGGATTAACTTTTCATTTATTTCTGCAAGTAACCAGATTATGTATCTTTCTCTCTCTGTCCAACCCCCTACATTGTCCCCCCCTCAACAAAGCCATTTTCCTGCCTCTTGTTTCCCAGGGTTTCAATTTTACTAAGTCCAAAACTCACATATAAAGTGTGCTTGTAATTCCTTGAAAAGCAAGTACAACATCTTATATTGAGCTCTAAATCAGACTGTTAGTGAGAAAGGAAATTAGGACTATGATTTGTTGCTAAATAAAGATGCTCAATCTTTTTTTACTATGTGTTAGTCTGTTATCATTCTGTCTGCATAAGAGTGAAAACAAAGAAATATATCCTTAGGTTATTCCTGGAAGAATGCTATTGGACAAACCCAACTGTTCCTAATTAATTTTAACTATGACAACTCCTCCCAAATGCTGAACATTCCAAGCCATTTTTGAGAATAGTTAGTATCGGTTCAAGGAAGAAAGGATTTCCTGAGATTACTGGATTGTCATTTACATACTCTGCCCTATATTTACTGTCTTAATTGTTAAGCCAGCCCATTAAGGTGATACCTTTATTAACACAACTGCGTATTTTTTTTAATTGAAAATAAATACCAGAAACTGAAATTATGGGAGATTTTTCCCTTCCAATTTTCAAATTTTCTATAATGCAGTTAAATCAGTCTTGCAACTTAAAAAAAAGCATTAAAGAGAAAATTTTCCGTATAGCATTTACTCTTTTAAACCATATACTAAGATTATTTTAAGTCCCATTCTAAGGACTTTATTATTAAAAAAAATAATCCTTGCCCTGGCTGGCATTGCTCAGTTGGTTGGGCATCGGCCTGCAAAGCGAACGCTCACAGGTCTGATTCCTGGTCAGAGCACATGCCCGGGGTGCGGTGAGGTCCCAAGTCAGGGCACGTATGAGAGGCAACCAACTGATATTTCTCTCCCTCCCTTCCCCTTTCTCTAAAATAAATAAATAAATAAATAAAATACTTGTTTAAAAATATTTAGATTCAGGATCAACTCTTTAAAAAAAAAATCCTTGCTAAATTAAAATGAAAAAACTTCAGCATAAAACAGCTTCTGGAAGATTACTTAAAATACTCACATCATGCTTATTTCAATAAAATAAAACCTTTATCGTCATCCAGAGCACTGCTACACACCTGTAATTGTATTATCAAGATAGCATGAAAGACACTGAAAATTCAGAGGCACAAGACATGTCTTCCATTCTCAAGTTTACTACCTAATTAGGACAACAGGGCATATACTGAAAAAGAGAATCAAAAATACAAGGGAGCATCTAGTACACAGAGAGGGATAGTGAAATAAACTGCTTTTGTTGGAGTCCTATAGACCTTGGTTCAAATCTTAGCCCTACCACTTACTATTCATGTAAATTACTTCCCTCATTTGCAAAACGTTAAATTAAGTGGAATAAAACTCCTGCCATATAGTAACACCCAAAGGGAAGCTAATAGTATTACTGTTGTTATTATTAGGGATACAGTCTTGAGGAAGAAATGGGCAAATGGTAAAATTTTTTGAAGTATTAGTATCTTTTTTGTAATCTACCACCAAAAGCAAAAATCACAAGATCTTTCTCAAGTTTTAGTTCTTATTGACAAGAAAAAAAAACAAACATCTAGTCAAAACAACTAAAATTAGAAAACACCAATGTACGCAGCACTAAGTACCCTGTGGAAGTCACCACTAAATCTACAAACAAATCATAGAATGTGATCTATAAAAAAGAATGTTAGCTGGAAAGGTCCTTAGATCAGCTAAGTCAAATTTTCCTACTAAGATGTAAGCTCCAAGTTTTGGCTCCAAGCTCCAAGACTGTTATCTTTTTTGTTCATTAGTATGTCTTCAGTACCTACAATAACTACTAGCACAGTGAATGCTCAACAAATATTCACTGAATAAATATTAAAATTAAGAAAACTCAGGCCTGGAGACTTAACTCAATGTCATATATCGGGCTAAGCTTGGCAGAGCTGGGACTGGTACTAACGTTTCATTACTCTAATGGTCTATCTTCTCCAGTAGCTGAAGTATGATAATTTATTTTGGTGGTTGGGGAGTTGAAGCGTTGGTTGCCAGGCAGGGGAAGAGGAAGGAGTAAATTAAAACATTTTTTCACATTTTCCCCTGTCAGTTTTGCTTAATTGATAAAGGCAAAAAAAAAATTATAAAGAAGACAATCCCAACACAGTCCCTAGCACATGACACGTACTTAACAAATATTTGTTGAATGAATAAACCTACTCCAAAACCATCATTATCTCATGACCAGAGGTGGAAACAAACCCCAGCATCTGGTTAATGTTTTTAACTGTCGTAGAGCCCTTTAGAATTTTCAGTCATACAGAAGACAAAGTTATTAATCACATTTCTTCCAGATGGGCACTGAGGGAGAAGAGGTGAATTAAAAGACGTCCCTGCCCTTGAGGATCTCTTTCTCTTGAGTTTACCTATATCTCTGTCTGTCTCTGTGAGTGCCTGTGTGTTCCAGTAAGGGGTTGACATAAACATATCAATAATGAATGTGAAACCACGTTGCACTGTTATCTCAATTTATTGCCTCAAGCAGTTAAAAAATTAAAAAAACACAGATCAGCAAGTTTTAGATTAACAAGGAGGCACATTAGGGTATATAAACATTTGGGAAGATTCTTTTTCCTGTGCCTTTACAAAATATCTTATTGCCTCTTAACATCTTAAAAATCAGAATATTCGAAATGGACTTATTTTAATTGTCAATATAAATGAACCATCTATGTCCTCTCATATGTGAGACTCTGAAGGGTAATACTCCTAATTCAGTATTTACTCTGTGTACATGTTAATATTTAAATATATAAAATACACAAGAACAATTATTAATTATGTAACTGTCTATAAAACTGACAGAGCCCGAGTAAAACCTCCAGAAATGAATGCTAATAAATAGAAACTAAAAACAGTACTATTCAGGGAGCGAATAAAGTAGACACACAGCTAAGAAGTAAATCTATAGAAGTCTCTAAGAGAACAAAATCTTCAAGCGGGGAAAAACTCTTGCTCAGAATTGGCCAACAGAGCCAGAGAGCAACAGCCTGCCAACAGGATCTTGTTTATTAATGCAACTCACTAACTAGACTCATAAAAAGTGAACACCCATAAGTCTATGTTGCCATTCCTCTAATTTGAGTTTCAGAAGGACCCTTCCAAAGAGATTCACCACCAAGACTAAATCACCACATTCCAAAGATTCTTCCCCTTTACCTGCTTGTCAAAATAGGATAAGCAACACCAAACAATTGGGAAATAAACAGACTTCTTAAGAGATGATCATTCCTGCAAGCTGAGGCTAGTTATTCTACCTGAAACACACGTTTGTAGGTGATTCCTGGTTCCTGGGGAGAACATTTTTCACTCAGTCTATCCTACAGTGCTAAGTGGATCACCCCAAAACTCTCTGTCCCAAAATGTATACCCCATCTCAGTGTTAAAACCTTATGAGCACTGACTAATCCAGGCCAAGGAGACTACAAGGGGGCCGGAAGACATTACAAGGCAAACAGGAAGGCTGGGTGGGCCCCGAGGGGAAAGTACCTGACCACCAGCTCTGGAGAGAAGAGGATGAGAAGTTGAAACTGGGGTAAGTTTTGGTCTGAGGAGTGGGAAGGGGCTGACAGGTGCACATCACCTCATCATCCCGAACATCACAGATTATAATTGGCCTCCTTTTACAAAGAGGGAGGAACCAGGTTCCCAGAGTGAGTGATGTCGAGAGGTGTTCTGGGAAGCACAAGGTAAGGGTTCTGAAGGAAATAGAAAGGTAAGAGGAAAGACCCTGAGAACCACTTTTGGTGAAGATTCCCCCAGGATAAGTAATCTCTAGGGTCGTTTCCCAGTTCCAAGATTGATGGAACCACCACGCCTGTTAAAAGATGTTTTCCTGTTATCCGCTTGGACAGCGATTAAATAAAAGTCCACCGGGCAGAAGTGGAAGCAGACGTGAGCAGGAAAAGACTAACCGAGGGTCTGTCCCAGGAGGAAACCTGATAGGGAGGGGAAGAGGCTGAATTCAGGGAGGGCTAGCTGGGTAAGTACTTGGGTAGTATGAGACTTATCTGGCTTAGAGAACCCTGGAGGAAACTGCTAGGGAAGGGTGGGCTTTCGTTGGAGTCTAGTGGAAACAGGCCGGTTTAGGGAGGAAAGATGCCGTGAAGGTCTGGCTCGGGAAGGTGACTCGAACTAGGGTAAGCGCTTTGCCAGTCCGAGGGCTGACCCGGGGGTGAAGCTGATCAGCAGGAGCTCAACAGGCGATCACCTGGAACACACTGGCCTGGAAGGAGGAAACTTCTTGCGAGGGTGAAAGCTGAGTGGAAGGAGAGGAGCCCGGCACCGGCTGAGCGGGGCGGGGTGCATGGTCAACTCAGTCGGGGTGGGGAAGGGTAGGGAGGAGGGGGCGCCTCGTGGGGCGGGGCCGGGTCACCCACCGACCCCAGGTGGGGTAAGGGTATTCGCCGCGGAGTAGCCGGCTCGGGATGGCGCCCTCCCTCCTGCACACACGCACACACTCCTGCTCTCCGCCGCCCTGCCCGGGGCCGAGAGAAACGGCACGGGTCGGTAAACCACAGAGGGCGGTGGGGGAGGGGGCCGGTCGGGAACACCGGCCGACGAAGCCCAGCGGATGGGCTGGCGGCGTTACCTGTGTCAGGGAGAGCTGGGCCGCCGCAGCCATGGTGTTTCCATCATGCACGGGAGGGGAAGGAAGAACTGGCGGACGGGGGTGGGGCGGGGAGAAGGCGGAGGGAGCGGCCGGAGGCAAGGCCGGGGCGGGCAAGCGGGCGTCTCCCCTAACTTCGACAACTTCCCTCCTCTCGCCCGCCCCGCCCCGCCAGGCCCCTCCCGCCCCGCGCAGGCCGGGGCGGCACCCAAATCCTGGCGCCGGAGTTTGCGCCGCCGGACTGGAGCCTGACACCAAGGGCGGCGAGGGGTCGGGGATGGGGGGTGGGGGGGCGGACGGAGGGTTGCGGGGAAGGCCGCTTACGAAAACCCAGAAAGTCTATCAAATTAAGGAAAACGGGCTTTGGAGGCACTGACAACTCTAGATTGTCCTGTGAACTTTAGGCAGGTCTTCTGCATCTATAAAATAAAATAAATATATTTAGAAATTTTAAATGGGGAAAATTATACTCAAAATCCAGGTTTCTTGTGAGGATTAAATGATACTCATACAATGATATAAAATAATAACAGTACTTTGTATATATACGAAAATCTGTTCTAGATGCTTTATTTTTTAATTGTATAAACGAAAGAACTGAAATATAAGCTGTGCAAATGAAGAAACTAAAATATTTAAAAAAGTGCTATAACTAAAGTTATACAGCTAATTTGATAGCTGAAATAGAATCCAGATCTGATTCCAAAACCTTTCATCTAACCATCTCCTTTAGGATGTGATATTGAAAAGAAGACTTAAGTTAGACACTCTAGGAGCCAACATCTAGGAAGGAGGGGGAAGGAATACTTTCCTTACCTGCTTGCTGCCAGCCACTCCTAGATTGTTCAGTAAAAGAGCACTGGGCCCTGGCCACGTAGCTCAGTTGGTTAGAGTGTCATCTGGATACATCAAGGTAGTGGATTCCATCCCACCAATGAATGCATAAATAAGTGGAACAACAAAGCGATGTTTCTCACCACTCTCTCTTCCTTTCTCTTTCTTTCTCTCTCTCTCATCAATTTTTAAAAAATTAAAAATAAATATAAATAAAAATTTAAAAAGAGCTCTGGGACTGCCTCAGTTGCCTCCCGACTCCTCCCATAGTCCACCTGGCAAACTCCTACTTTCTCAAGACACAAGTATCACCTCCTTTGCAAAGCTGGCTTCCCCACGTCAGTTACACACTCTCCTTTTCAACATTTTTTTTCCTCTACACTATGAAGTCATCATCACCCTAATGACTGTTTACATCTGTCTACCCATCTAGACAGAGCTTCTCAATGACAAGGACTATTTCTGATATACTTCTATACTCTCAGACCCTAGTGTATAGTATTCTTTCAATAAAGATCTTAGTTCTTCCCTAGCTGGTGTGGCTCAGTGGATTGAGCGCTATCCTGCGAACCATAGGGTTGCCAGTTTGACTCCCAGTGTAGGGCACATGCCTGGGTTGCAGGCCAGGTCCCCAGTAGGGGGTGTGCAAGAGACAACCACACATTAATGTTTCTCTGCCTCCCTTTCTCCCTCCCTTCCCCTCTGTCTAAAAATAAATGAAATCTTTAAAAAAAAAAAAAGATGAAAAAAGATCTTAGTTTCTGTTGTATTAAATATAACACAATTAACACTTTTTCATGATGCCATCTTCAATTAGAATAACCAACCAGCTACTTGAAGTCCTCATCTTTAATGGCTTGGCTTGTATGTTACCTTTTTGGAGAAGCCTCGTAGGAACTCCCACCGCACCTTTTAGTTGCTCTGATATATTCCTTATTATACTCTGCCTTGTTCATTTAGTTAGTTTGGGGCTTTTTTGTACCCCAACTAGACTGTAAAATCCTTGAGGACAGCATGCTAATTCATGACTACATCCCCCTCACAGTTTAGTCTAGCACAGAGTAAAACCACAATAAATGTTTTTACCCAGGACTGGTCTTCCTTTCTCAGTTAGGGTGGCTTCCCACAACAATAAACCACAACTCTATGAGGCCTCCACCCCTGTTACCATTATCATAGCAGTTTCTTTTGACCCGACTGGAGGGCCAACTGAACAAGAGGACCCAAGACTGAGTTAGCCCCACCTAAGTTTTTAGATCTTTGCCACCACAGACAAACGGTTCTAGATATGCCCTCAGAGACTCCTGACTTGATTCAGACTCCTTTTTACAAGGTCTAGCCATGAAGAATGAGTCTGTAGGTCTGTTGAGCAACCACTTACTCAAGAAAGTCTCCCTTAACCTCTTTTTGCTGTTATTTTTTTTTACTTATGAGAGAAGGGGAGATACTGTTTTAAATTACTCCACCCTCATACCTCTATCAGCTATAACCACAACTGATGTTTCCACTTGAATTTTCCATTTTTAACATTATCACATTTGAGCTTCACAACAACTCTGCAAAGTAGTAATCACCATATCCACTTTATATATGAGGTAACTGAAGGTCCTAGAGGTTAAGTGATTTGCCCCAGGTTATATAGCTCATAACCAAAGCAGTTGTGCATAGTGTAATAAATAGAGCTTGAACATCGGAAACATCCAGGCTAGCTCTACCATTTTCTACCTGTACAACCTTAGGGCAGTTGTCAAGATGAATAAAATAACATACATAAAAATACCTAAAGATGTAAGTATACAAATTTAGTTTAAAAATATGAAGTTATGGAATAAATTGCGATCAGGAGTATAAACTCACTTGCTATTCAAGAAGACTCCTCCAAATCATGAAATACAAGATATTACTCTAGAGTGAATATTTTGACATCCCAGGTGTATGGAGTTTCCTAGAAAAGCAATGTGGGGTAGTAAGGAGAATATTGGGGTCACTTAGTATATGATGTCAGGCAAACCATTTAACCTATTTGAGCCTCAGTTTCTCACATATAAAAATAAGCAAATCAATGTGAAAAATGTTAAGGAAATTTAAAAAATTATTATTATACTTATTGTGTGATTAATGTTAAGTTAAAACACATATTTATTCAGTATTGCTTTTCATAGTTTGTAAATGTTTTTACATACAGCATCTAGCACAAGTCCTTAAGTTGAATAGATACATGATAAAAGTTTGTTGAACTAAGCTGAATGCATAATCTCATGTGTAGTTATTATTTGGATGCTTATTTTATCCCCATTTCAAAGTTAAGAAAATCAAGGAACAAATATTTTATAAATAACTAAGTAAGTGTCACTTACAGCATGTTTGGACTTAGTTGAAATAATAAAAATGATAATTAGACTCCTTAGCACAGGAAGATTAGAAGTAAAAATCATTAAATGAGAATTACCCTAGGTCTCCTTCCACACCACCAGCAATTTTTATTAGCTTCCTTCTCCATTCATTGGTTCTGGTTTAAAAATTTGACATGTAGTGGGGGATTGCAATGATGGCCCAAAATCTCCAAAATGCCTAGAACTTCTAGGACTAGATTTTTGTAAATGACACACCAATGACAGTTTGCGAATACATGTCCCAGATCTCCTCAAAGCACTGGGTCGTATCCCAAATCTATTTTAGGAGAGTAAAATGCAGATGATGAAAGATATGCTATGATTTAATTCATTCTAACAAGAACGAGCTTTGTGGAGCAGACAAAAAGGACTTAATGTTTTTTCTAGTGTCAATTAATGTCTCTGGGTCTCTACACCTCAAATTTATCATGTGTGCATTGGAGGTAATAATATCTACCTTGTAGGCATGGTGTAAGGATTAGAAATCATGCATCAATGTCCTATCAAAGAGCCTGATCTGGAAAATTCAATAAGTGGTAGCTGTAAGGATACCATTCTTCAAGGTCACTTCATCATTTAACTCTCTACCCCTCAGACAACCCTTCAGTTACTAAGTCAGTTTTGCAGATATACTGGCCATAAGAAAGTAGTGCCTTGAACAGGTGACACACATCTCATCAAGAAAGATGTTCTCTAGGTAAACAAAGTTGTGTCTGATGACTTCAATCCGGATACTGATAACCAACAACTGTTGCTTTTTTATACAGTATTTTATTTAATCCTCACAATAACCCTACAGAGATTATTATTAATTTTATTTTACAGAAGAGGAATTTGTCCAAATTCATGGTGACAAGACAAGGAATTATAAACAGGTCTTCTGACTCAAATATGCTTTTCACTAGGGCATGTTGCTGGTGTCCTGCAGACACTGATCACCCCTGGGAAGAATGGGTAAAATGATGCCTCTGACCATTAAAAGCTGAAGATGAGGCTCTGCATTTACAATAACCCTAAACCCAAGATGACCTGAAGAGAACTTAGATAATGACCAGTTTTTCCGTTAGACTGTCATTCCGTCTTTCCATCCTACTCTATACGCCCACTTCCCCTCCCCCACTCACCCTTAAAGGAAACCACAGCTAATTTTTTTATTTCTTTATTTTCCAACTTTTGGAGGTGACTGTCATATCAGCTCTTCATAAACACAGCACATCTGTGATGTCACCATTTAGAAATGCAGAATGATTGATTGACACTGTGAAAAAAAGACAGCTATGAGGAGCTCTCTGAATATACAAAGAACCAATTCATTTGCATGAGACTGAAAAAAGCCTTCCATATAAATGGTGCTAAGCTACAAAAAAATTATACTACAATTGTAATGGTAATCTGGAGCTCACGCTTCCAAGCTGCTGGTTTCATAAATATAGCCATTATTGTTCATGTTTGCCCAGGGCAGAAAGAATATGTGAGGCTGTACAATAATAACAATTGTGCTACACAAATAACTGTACCCGTGCCAAGGACTGAAAAGAACAAGCAGTAAGAGATTTCTAAATGCCACACATACCCAGGAGTGACAGGACAGTTCAAAATTGTCATCATTGCTAATTTTTCAGGGCATCATGTGTCCTGGGAAAAGCCCGAATTTGGGACTGGGAAGGTCCAACTTGATCTAGTGCTGACTTTGAGACTTTCTAGTTTTGTAACCTTGGACAAGTCACCGAACTATACCAAGCCATATTTTCCTCCTCTAAGCTGAAGGTAATAATAGCACCTGCCTGATAGTGTTATTATGATAGTTAAATGAGGTTTCATGTGAAAACAGTTAGCCAGA